AAAGAAAAGAAAAAAAAAGGAGAATCAAAGAAATCTACAGGGAGAGATAATGGACAATCAAACAGTGAACAAGACAAACAAACATTTTAAGAAAAGAAAAAGAAAAAAAGAAGAAAAAAAAAATCCCTGTTTCAGGAACAGTAGAATTTCAGTCTTAGTAGTTCTGGTGTTACTCCTTTAGCATCCAGTCCTGTTTTTCTGTGTCTCCTAGGCAGGTTTGGAGCTGGTGTCTGGTGGTGCTGGAGGCCTCCTGTGGTGGCTGATGTCCGGTGTGCCACCAGTGGGCAGGCAGCATCCTGGTGGGCCGGTGGATTGTGGCCTGGTGGGCCTGTAGGGCTGGTGGGGCGGAGACCAGACGGGGCTGCAGCCTGCAGGCCGGTGGGCAGTGGGTGGCTATCTGGTGAGCCTGTGGGCAGCAGTCTGGCGGGCCTGTGGGGCAGAGGCTGGTGGGCTGGCAGGCAGCCTCCAGCCTGCCTGTTCTTTCAATGTATCGTAATGTGGACAAGCCTTCCATGGGTAGGTTCTGGGTGTCGAAGTTTCAGCTCTCCTTAGTGCTTTACTTCAGTCAAGTGTGTCTCCAGCATCTCAGCAAGGTCCCTGATTCCCAGAGCTCATGCAGTCTGCGTCTGTGTCCGAGTCACCATTTTTCTAATTGTCTGATTTCTAAATCATATCTCTCCTCCATCCTCTCCCTTGAACTCAACCCCAATATGTACAACCACCTGGATGGCATTTTGCTTGGGTTCTTAATGACTCATGTGACTAAATGTACTTAAAATTGAACTCCCACAATTCTCTTCTCCCAGTCTTGCTCTTCCTGTGACCTTTCATTTGCTCCAGCTAAAGTCACTGTCAACTTTCACTTACTCCCTTCTCTCAGACTCTCACTCAGTTCTTCAGCAAATCATTGTGGCTTTACTTTCAAAATACAATCTGAACTTCTCTCTTCATTCCCATTGCCATCATCCTGGCCACTGTCTTCTCACTTGGATATTGCAATAGTCTCGTTTCTGTTTCTGGTTTTCTTCTCCTGCTTATTCCCCTGCAGTGTCCTCACAACACATAAACTGGAGTCACTTTGGGGCAAGCTAGATCACATAATTGCCCTTCTCAAAGTCTTCAAAGTAAAAGCTAAAATCCAACTGATTGGTTTTCCATTACCTCCCTGACTCTCCAGCTACTCTATCCCTTGCTCACACAGGCTTTTTCAGATACATCTCAGAACCTTTGCACTCACTATTCCCTTTGTATGAAACATTCTTCCCTAATATTTCCATGGTTACATCACTCTCTTAATTCAGGGGGTGATAACTAGTAAAATACAAGGAGATAAAGTCAGTCCTAAAATTCAAAGGCTGTCCAAGGGTGGAAAGTCCTATAGCTTCTATGACTTCAAAAAGCAAGAAACAAGCAATTAGACAAAAAAAGAAATAAAAAGAACCCAAATTTGAAAGGGAAAAGTAAAATTATCTTCATTTTCAGATGACATGACAATACATGTAAAAAGTATCCAAGGATTCCACAAAGAAGCAATTAGAGCCAATAAATGAATTTGGCATATTTATAGGACATAAAATCAATAACTTTTTTATGTACAATGACCTAACTGAAGATGAGGTTTTTTAAAAATTCATTTATAATACCAAAAAATACTTGGGAATAATTTTAATGCAGGAGGTGAAAGATCTCTCCACTGAAAACTATAAAACATTGAAGAAAGAAATTGAAGAAGACATGAATAAATGGATCAATGTTCATTATTCAGAAGAATTAATCATTTTAAAGTGTACATGCTACTTAAAGCAATATGCACGTTCAGTGCCCTTCTTCATAAAAAAAGAAAAAAGTCCTAAAATTTGTGTGGAGTCTGAAAAATTCCCAAATATTAAAAATAATTCTGAGAAATAAAACACAGAGGCAGCATACTTCCTGAATTAAAATTGTATCACAAAGATATAGTAATCAAAACACTATGGTATTGGCATAAGAACAGACATATAGAGATAGACAGGAAACCAGTGGTTACCAAGTATCTAGGGGACAGGAAATTGGGAGATTTAGGTTGGATAATATAAAGTAGTAGATAAAAAAGATGAACAAGCCTGGAGATACAGGACTCTAAGCAAGAAAATGGTACTGTATTTGGGATCTATGATAAATGAATGAATTTTAGCTACTTTGGCCACAAAACAGAAATAAAACTATGCAAGATGATGGGTGTGCTAATTTTCTCCACTTTTACTGTCTCCACGTATTCCATAGCATTATGTTGTATGTCTTAAATATACAAAAAAATCTGTTTCTGAGAGATAAATGCCAAGAGATGAGCAACAAAGTCTCAATGAGACATTGCAGCTGAATGTGGTGACTCCATTTTCACAGCTGTTGAAGATGGACTCCCTGCTTGACATTGTCACCATTAATCTGAGAAGAAGAGGAAATGAAATTAAACAAATGAAAGTTATTAGTAAGAGGCAATATTAGTTCTTGTTTCTGGCATGTGTAGCTTACTAGAAACAAATATATTAACTGATCTAAGTTTTGGAGGGAATTATATTTCTACCCTTCCTCCAAGTCTGTTTCTTCAGTGAGCCTTAAAACAACCATTTCCTGGGAAGTGGTCTGAAAGAGTTGCTTGGCTTTAAGCATTGAAACTCCTCGACATTTTCTTAGATGTGGACAGCACAGATAAAAGAAGATAAATCATCTTTCCAGAGGATGAAGCCAAGGACCAGAGGGGGAAAATAACAAACAAGAAAGGAAGGAAGAAAGAGAAGGAGAGAGGGATAGAGTGGAGGGAGGGAGGAGAAGGAAGCAGGAAGGTAGGAAGGAAAGAAAGAGTGAATAAAAAAGAGAAGAGGGTGAAAAAGAGGAAAACAATATTATTCACAGTCAATGAAATCAGGGCAAAGTTTCAAAATCACTTAGCTGATTTTGGAAAAACTGTTGATGTTAGAGTACGCGAAAGGGTATACACACCACCTGTAGCTGGGAAGGTCATTGTAGTAGGTTGAATACGGGTCCTTGAAGATGTTAAGTTCCAACTCCTAAAACCTGTACATATTGCTCTATGTGGGGAAAGGCTCTTTGCAGATGGATGAAGGTAAGGATGCTTAAATGGGGACATTATCCTAACCTTATCTGGATGGGGTCTAAATGCCATCATCTGTATCCTTATAAAAGATAAAGAGAGATCTGACAAATCAGAAGAGAAGCAATGTGAAGACAGGGACAGAGATTAGAGTGACGAGGCCTAAGCCAATTTCAGCAAAAACGGGAAGCAAAGGAACAATTCTCCCTAGGGAGAGAAGCTCTGTGGACAACTTGATTTTTGCTCAGTAAAACCAACTTAGACTTGTGGTGACTAGAATTGTCAGAGAATAAATTTTTGTTTTTATCAGCCACAGGAAAGGAATACACTCTACATCAAAAAGACATAATATTGGATTGCCTATTTGGAGGGTTGTGACAATGCCTCATACCTTGGGATTCTATGACTCTTTTACAATTTGGCAGATTTGTGCTCTGGTAATTAAATATGAAATCATATATAAATCATGCAATCATTTGAATAAAATCAAAAAATGAATTTTGTTCTCTACTTGTGGGGAATTTTAAAGCTGCAGCAGTGACAAAGGGCAGAAAATATCTTTATGGGATTACCTACACTTAATAATCCTCTTTATTGTTAAAAATTGGAAATATCTTTACCTTAGTTTCTAATTTCTAAAGAAACATTTTCATTATAGGGCTTAAAGCTAGAAAAGTGGAAAGTTAGCTTTTCCTTTGACTCATCAATGTTAAGCTTTTCCCTTTGTGTTTTGAAATATCTAAATTCAGGTATATTTAAAAAATCTAGAGTTTTACTCTTTGGCAATCTGTTAGCTTTCTGTTACTGTGACAAATATCTGAGATCAACTTAAAAAGAAGAAAGGGTTATTGGTCCTCATGATGTTGGAGGTTCCAGTCCATGGTCTGTTGGCCCTGCTGATTTTGAGCCTGTGGTGAGGCAGTGTGCCATGATGGGAGCATGTGGTAGGGAAAAACCTTCACCTCATGCTCAGAATTTGAAAGAGAGAAAAGGAAGAGGTGAAGTCCCTTTACAATTCTTAAAGGCACACCCCAATGACTAAAGGGCCTCAAGATGGCCCTCCAGTAAAATTTCTGCCACCTCTCCATTGTGCCAAGTCAGGGACTAAGCCATCCAACATCCAAACTACAGCAGGCAGCTTGTTTCTTCATAAGACTGTACTATGATAATTTTCCATAGTAGTACAGATAGCTCTACCTTCTTCTTAATTGGTCTATATCATACATCTGTGTATATATGTATTCATATGTTAATTGTACAAAGGAGTATCATTGTGATATTTCCATAGATGTACACAATGTGTTTTGATCAAATTCACCTCTTTATCCCCATCCCTTCTTTATCCCTATCCCTTCTTTCCCCTTTACCAAACAGTATTTAGTGGGTTTCATTACATATCTTTATATATATATATATATACAAATACATATGTATGCATATGTATATGTTATGTACTTTGATCACATTCATTCCCAAGTACCTTGTCCTTCCTCTTTCCCCTTCACTGACTGTCCCCACCCCAGTCCCCCTTTCACACTCATGTCCCATTATTATTATTATTATTATTGTTGTTGTTATTGTTATTTTATCATTTTAGGTCTAGATTCCCCATATGACTGAAAACATTTCTTTATATAGATAAGGTATAATTTATTTAAATAAATACCCACTGATGGACACTTCACTTTTTTCTTATACTTTTGGTGCAAATAATAATAATTTTCCTCTTTATACAGATTTAATGGCCTTTGTTTTGTCAAATGCAAGAGTATTTTCCTATTTAAAAAAAACTTAGTTTCTAAGGTACTGAAGATAAGAAATGAGTTTTAAAATGAAATTCTTATCTAGATTGCACTAAAATTATTTTAAAATCCTGATCAATAACCACAGTAATGATTAACTTTTTTAGACATCTGACTATCCAGTGGTGCTCTCATTAGAAAATCATTGCTCCGCTGCCCAGCAAGATGTGATGGCAGACATTTTACAGGGTACTTTTGGAGATTCTCTGCTGTCTGACATGCTTGATGGATACACAGACAAACTTCCTTCCCCAGAGGTAATATTTTGTCTGAGAAGCTCAGATTAAAGGGAAAACAACAAACAAACAAACATGTCACTGTAATTGTGGACCTAGATCTAATAAGATTAGGTTAGAAACCAACGTAAATGCTTGGTTTTGGTTATTTACAGGGCTGTACCTTTGTCATATGTTACCTGGGAAATGTTCTCATGAGTGTTTAGGTGAATAAAGAGACTATGCAAATAAAGAAAGTACAAAGATCTGTGTAAGACCCACATTTAGAAAGTTAATTAATTTGCAGATAGTAGCTGTGCAAGGCACACACTGTGGCATTTACATTTGTGCTTGTGTGCCTACTATATATCATAATTGGATTCTCCCCCCATCATTCTCCTACATCCCCCCCTCCATCTTAGAACCATTCCAAGTTTCATTGTTCTATTTTCATACATGAATATAAAATATATCCACCATATTCGCACTCCTTCATCTTTTTGGCTAATTCCCCATCCCTCTCCCTGTCCTCCAGGCAGGACCTGTTTGACCTTCCTGCCCTTCACATTTGAAGTGTGTATGGATTGTTCAATATATATAACCCACATTTTGATTGTGTGACCTACTTCATAATTTCAAGGCAATTAATATTGGATCTGAGGAATTTGGTATGTTTTATAGGCAAAAGGCTAAGAAAGAGGCAAAAAGTTCAGGCTGTAAATAGACTCCATACTCAATATTTCAACACCTGCTCTTTCCAGGACCCTGTCCTTATTAACCTGAGCATATTCCAGTGTTTGATTTGGAAAAGCATCTCTACTCTGGCATCAGGGCTTCACTTCCTTCTCCAGCTGTGAGTTTGTGATTCCTTCTCACAGCCCAAAGTTTTTACTTCCTCACTGCTTGCATCTGCCCATTGGCTTCCTCTTCCACCTGCTCCATAGTAAGTTTCTCCTCGTGTCCATCAGAGGGAAACCTTTCTACTGAACCCTAATGGATCTACTTCTGTCTTCATCTCACCTCTCCCCTCAGAGGCGTCCATGACCAGGGAGCCCTCTTTTCTGTCCGTGAAACACTTTCTTCTGTACTTCAGACTTCCCTCATTCCTCTCTGGCCTATCTTTCTTAGTTTCCTTTGTGGGCTCATTACCCCAAATTTTATCAGATGATAACTGAACTGTTTTATTTTTGCAATAGTGTTGTCTGACAACCAATGCTTTCTTTTTGACATATCTTCAGTTTGGGTAAGATAGTAGTGTTTCTGTAATAGTTGAATATTTCTCTTTATATTTTTCCTCATTTTATTGAAATGAGTGGGAAACTTCAAAAGTGTTGTGACACTAGTGACAAGAAATATAGAGCTCATGATAGAATTGAGACAGATAAAATGATTTCTTTGATAAATGAGAAAAGTATGACTCTTACCTCTGAAGGATGTTCACAGACTAAACAAGTTCAGTCATGACAGAAAAAATGTTAAGGCACTTGTGCAAATGCTTGAAACATAACATCAAAGATTAACCTCAAAGTCATGGCCTAATTCTGGAAGTTGCAATATTCTTTAATTTTCTGAATACATTCTCTTCGTCTATATGTTTGTCCTTTCAGCATTCCAATACACGACTTTCATTGAGACTTGGGCTTCTACACTACAGTAAGGACATGGTTTCTGATGAGAAAATGAGGAATTAGAGATAAAGTCATTTTCTTACACTGTACTCAGTCTTCAGTGTGTAAAAGAATTCTTGGAGACTTTGTAAGGAGGTTTAATTCCAGATCCACAATTGAAGATTCAGACTCTGTAATTTTGAGATGGATCCCTGGAATTTGTCCCTTTAGCAAACATATCTGATAACAGCTTTGTTGTGTACTTGCAAAGTATGTTTTGTCAAACTCCATATTAAAGAGCAATATAAGGGTTATTCTAAAAGAGAGAAAACACAAGGTGATGGGATAATTTGAGTAGGTACGGGAGGATGGCAGAAGGAAAGGAGAATCAAAACTGCTGGAGAAAAGAACTTTCCTTCAGAACCCAGCTTCCAGCATTATATATAACATAATAGGCACTTAAATATGTATTTGTTAAATTAATGAATTTTTAGCAAGGATGGTCACTAAGTGAGAGTATGACACCAGAAGAATTAGAACGAGTGATCCTGATGGTAGTAAATTTAGTCATGCCCCTGGCTCTGATGGACAGAGAATATTAAGTAACTGGTGCTCACATGAAATGCAGTTGAAGTGGCTTCATAAATCTTTACTGTCATCTATAGCAGATGCCAGTTATTCTGATAAACATTTCACATCCCTGATCTCATTTAATGTTTATTTAATGCAGATAAGAGTGATGATCTGAAGCACTCACCACCAGAAGTAACATTGTAACTTCAATAACATGGCAAGAATTTTCACACACACACACACACACACACACACGCACACACACACACACACACACACACTTCAAGTTTATTGAATAGTAGCGATATGTGAAATATAAAAGAGTAGACCTACAGTAAGTTCTAAGCAAACAGGCTTATTGTTTGGTAAATTATGGTCAACACTATAACATTACTGATTCTATTAGTGTATGAAGATGGTTGTGGATAAAGATGGGACCCTTACATATCTTACTACTGCAGGTTGATTGAAAATATGATGAAATACTTTTCAATGACTTTTATAATGCAGACGTATCAGTAAATGTACAATTGTATCTCTTTCTCATTGTTCACACAGGCACTAAAATTCAAAATATTAGTTAAAAATAAAAAAATAGGAACCTTAAAGGAAACCCAGGAAAGGAAAGGTCTTGATAAGCATGGTAAGGTGGGGGAGTGGGAGGAGGAAGTGCTGGATCCGGAGGAAGAGGAAGAGGAAATAAAAGAATCAGAAACAGAAGACATGTTTTTGTCCAGAGTCAAGCAGGAAAAGGAGTCAGAAATATTAAAGATACCCGTAATAACAGTTTTCAAGAAAAAGAAGGTGAGATATCCTTTTGGAACTTAAAAGTGACTGAAATTTTTCCTAATTTTCTTATTGGTGGAGAATTGAAAACATTCTGGACAGAAGAATCTTTTCCTCTTTATAAAAACAAAAGTCTATAATTAAAAACTGACTTTGAAAAAACTATCACTGGAAAAGAAAAATTAAAGTCTATCTCTTTTCCCATGGTAGCTGTTCCTGAACTTTTTCCCACTGTAATTAATGGTTTTTACAAGTTCTTGTGTACTAGATATTGTGTAGAGCAAAAGAAATACAGAGATCCCTGACATAAGTTTTCTGCCCTCCACTGGCAAAAGAATCAATGTTAAAACATGTAATGTGTCAAAAGAAGGAGCATTAGATGACTTGTGACACAAAACCATTCCATCTGGTCTAAATAAAATGAGAATTAATGAATTGGCCCATATAGATGAAAAGTTCAGGGGAAAGAATTTTAATTTGAGGAATGGGTTGTGCTTCAAACATGGTTGACAAAACTCTCTTTCTGCAGCCTTGGTTTTCTTTTCTTTGTGTTGAGCAAAGGCTATTTGCAAAAAATTCAGTTTTCTAACCTAGTCAGATTCAAATACAGTAGAGTTATCTGTTAGCAGAATAAGTAATTTTTATTTTTTGAGGCAGACTCTTTATAGCTGAGGCTGGTCTGAACCTCACTATGTAGCCCAGATTGGACTCAAACTTGTGATCCTCTTTCTTCTGCCTTCTGAATGCTGGGATTACAGTCAGACACACCACACCTGGCCAAATGATTTTTTCCTACATCTCCTATGATCTGGTTATGTGTACATTTCTGAACTAATTATTGATGCTAGGGGAAATGAAAGAAAAGTTCTGATTAGCCTAATCTGTATGATTCTTATTTAAACATACGGATTGAGCATAAGCAATGAATATTTTCCAAAAAAGTAACCTTGGGAGTTGGCTAACAGAGTATAGAAACAGATGCTGGGCTGTAAAAGATCCAATGTCTGCCATATAATAGAAGTTATTCCAAAATTTCAGATAAAAATTGGAAGCATACTTACCTGTGACTCAATTTCTAAAATTTGCAAAATTCACAATTATAAGCTAAGCTCCTTGGGGAAACAAAAACAGTAATAATTGTCATGCTCAATATTTTTAGGACATTAAAATTAAGTCTGCTTATGTTTTCATTAACTATTATAGTCATAAAAATCATATTGATGTAACCTGAATAGATTTTGAGTAGATACTTTTATGAAAAGACTAAAATTATCTGTCTAGAAGCATATTTTCTATATTGGAAAGGGAATTTTTCAAATGATTCGTGTAAAAATGTGAAATTACTGCATTTTATTTTTAGACTAGGAGGCTAAAAATAGCTCTGGCCTTATCTGATCTTGTCATTTATACTAAAGCTGAGAAGTTCAGAACCTTCCAATATTCAAGACTATATCAGCAATTTAATGAAAATAATTCTATTAGGGAGACCCAAGCCCGCAAACTTTCAAAGTTGAGAGGTAAAGTCTTAGTTTAAATCAGTTATATTTATTGCTATGCTTTTAAGTTGGGTCCACGATATTTATAAAATGTATATTCACATAAAATTTCAATGTAATTGCATAATTTAGAAAGGGCTTCTATACTTCAACTGACATTAAGCTTTATTTTGCTGACCTTGGTTGTTAATTGCCTTCTGTAAGTCATGACCACCTTGTACATGCTAAGCAAATTCTCTATCAAGAAGCTATACCCTCAGTCCTTGGTTTTTTTGAGACAGGATCTCATTATGTAGTTCAGGCTGGCCTTGAACTCAAAATCTTCCTGCTTCTACCTCTTGAGTGTTGGGATTACAGGCATGTACCACCATGCATGGCTCAAGTCCTGATATTTGGATTCAGAATGTGCAGTGTAGACACTTTGGTGGGTGGGACTAGGGTGAGTAATTTATCCTGTGAGTAATTTATCTGTGAGTCACAGAATTATAGAGGCAGGCCAAGCCAATTACAAGGCCTTCATCTTGAGGTCAAAGGTAAGGGGGGGGAGACAACAACAGGAGGAACAGAACCATCCACTGTGTATTTCTGAAAGCGTCTCTAACAGCAGGTGAAGGTGAGATTGAAGTGGGGAGGAGATAATGAGGGCCTTGGCAGTGAGTGTGGAGATGGGAGACTGTGTGGATCCAACAGACATCTAGGAGGTAGATGTCAGCTGACTTGGAGTTTCTCCATCTGAGAGGAAGAGAGGGGAAGTATTCCACGGCTGGACTAGCAGCTGGCTGGGCTGAGCATGCAGTGCTACTGCACACCTGCAGAGGTGCCCTTTGTCTCTGCATCTTGCTCTAACTGCCTGCTGGTTCTGAATCCAATGGGGTTCTGTTTGGTAGCACTTGGGATGAAATTAAGCCTGAAAAAGAGAATGAGGAGCAGACCAATCCTGCTGAAAAGATCAATGTGGCAGGGACTATCCATAGTTTAAAAGGATGGGTAACTTTCAGGTGACTCTGAAATCCTGCTAACAAAATTGTACTCCACCACCTTACATGGAAATGCCACAGCAGGAGAAGCTGATGATTCAACCTCATAGCAAGTCACTGCTGCCCAAGGGTCTTGAAGTATACTTAGGTTCATGTTCTCAAAGTATTAGAAAGACATTTCAGGGTCTTTAAAAAAATAACAAAAACAAAAAAGAAAAAAAATAGTTGTGGGTTGTAGCTAAAAATCAGTTCAGTAGGCTTGGACTATGGCTAAATTATAGAGTAGGGTAGAGTAGTGCAGAATAGAATGGAGAGGAATGAAATAAAACAAAATGGAATGGAAGGGGATAGGATAGGACAGGATAGGGTAGGATGGAGAAGAGTGTGTTATAGGCAAAGAATAAGTACTTTGTGGAACAATAAGTATGTGTTCTTCTTACTATATGGTATGGTCAAGAGACTTTGAACGACCTGCTTTATTTACGAGATGGCCGATGTCCCTTCAGACTATTGGATAGCTTTTGTTGTTCACAAAGACCAGACCTCTGGGCAGAGGAAAACTAGTTAAAATTATCTCACTCTCAGCTTTGGAAAGTGATTGGGTAGTGCTTAGTAGGTGGTAAAGTATAGAATCACTGCCTTTTGGAGAGTATAGAATTTTTATTGCACTAAAAGTCTGACAAATAATTACTGCAAGCAAAGATACCTGCATCATTACACACATAACAAATATCATTAAAATAATGTGGAAGGTGAATGCGATTGAAATGGAATGATTCTCACATTGTTTTACTCAGTATAAAAAATGGCAGTTTGTAAAAAGAAATGAGCAATATGAATTGCTTTTAAAAATTAGCATATAGATAGGGAAGAATGGAAAGATTCATGCCAAGCAGTGATGAATTGTTCTTAATTGAGTGATGAGATTATATGTGGTTTTATTTATTCTTTTTTATTTGATTTCCTCATATTTCTAAAATGAACATGAGCTTCAATTTTAATAACAAATCATGTTTATTTTCTAGAGTTAAATCTCAGAAGTCACAAAGCCACATTATATCATGGGATCTCAGTGACCATTTGTATATTAATTTTAGGAAAACCCAGAAAAACAGTGTTTTGCCTATGCACAGATATCCTTAGGACTAGATACACCATGCTTATTTATACACGAGTAGCTTCAAAATAACTTTCCCTTAAGGAATAGCTTTTAAAAATAAGTAGTGAAGTTTTAAATTTGTCAGTGCTTTCTAAAAAACAGTATTTAGGGTGAGGGAGGAAATGACTATAACCTGCTTCCATTAGCAAATACACAGGGGTCCATATGCCATGACCGCTTCTCTCTTGATTGGTCACCATATTAGCAGGAACGAGTATGGAAACAAGACCTGCTTAGTGAAAAAAGAAAACTCTTATAGAAACATGAAATTTGTGTCCAAAATGATTAAAGGGTGTAAATTAGTTTCAAATTTCAAATAATTTAAAGACAATCAAGATAAATAGAAGTATAAAATAGACAAACTCAGATGAAACATACATGTGCCTATATTTGTATGTATATTTATAGTAAGCACATAGACATTATCCTAGTAGTTTATTGGAAATAAAGGTACGAGAGGTAGCAAGTGTTTCAAGGAAGGTTGCAAGCAGAGATTGGTTGAATTGGGGGGAAAATGTTGGGCCAGAAGGTTTGGGAGCTGAAACAGATAGCTTGAGGTCCCTTTAAACCTTATGAATCTGTGAAATATTCAATGAAATTAATTTATCTAGACTCATATAGCTTCATATGACTACATGTGATTCTGTCTTAATGTGAAAGTCAAAGTTTAAAAAAAAACAGTGGGAAAAGATGCTACTTTTATTATATAAAATGAATATATTTTATTTTGGAGTTTTATATATCTTCATATTAAAGTGAAATTAATTTGGGTATGAAAAAAGAAATAGAAATTATCCTGTCATTTTTTCTCAAGTGAATTATCAGTGCATGTAAATTGTATAATGAAACTATTTTAGTCAATTGTGAATTACACTGTAAACATAAACGCAAGGATTCACTTTGATTTTCATGAATTGCAAATATTTTTGCCAAGACAATATACATCAACATCGTTGGAACTATTGTAGAATTATCTTACACAGAACTGGTACCTTCTATCATTAGTCTTTCCTAATGTTTTAATTTTTCTTTAGTCCATGAGTTTGTCTTTCACACCAAGAAGTTCATTACCAGAATATATCCCAAAGCCACAAGAGCTGACTCTTCTAATTTTAATCCTCAAGAATTTTGGAACATAGGTTGTCAAATGGGTATGTGACATAGGATATTAAGTTGTTTGCAAAAGTAACTTGAAATGAATTCATTTTACTAATTGAAAAATTCATGAATGAAAAGCTTCTTAGGAAGATATTCTGGTCCTGGGGGTTTTAAAGTCAGAGACTAAATAGCGGGTCAAGAGTTAAGGTCATTTCTGGGCTGCTGGAGTGACTCAAGTGAGGCTGTGAGTTCAAACCCCAGTACCACCAAAAGAGAGAGAGAGAGAGAGAGAGAGAGAGAGAGAGAGAGAGAGAGAGAGAGAGAGAGAGAGAGAGAGAGAGGAGAGAAAGAGTTGAAGTCATTTCTAAATGGACTGGAGAGGGAAATCTAGGTGAATGTTGGAAGCATGGAGGGAAAATTCCTGAAGAGTTAGGATAGGACATGTGTGCTGGAGGAAAGGAACAAGGAAGCCAAAATGACAGAAGGTCAAGTTCTTTTGCCTGAAGGTCAGACCGAAGGTCTCTTCAAGTCCAGTGACGTCTATCATTTATACTTTGCAAGAGCGTTTACATTTATAGCCTTGGAGAGTGAATAGGGTTGCTCAGCATGGTTATTTATTTCACCAGACTTGGCCAAGTTCCTAACTGGATAGGTGTTGGTGCCAATGAGTCCATGGCAGGTGTTAAGTTTTGCTAGTGGCCTGTAGTACTGAGAGGGGAGAGTGGAACCAGGAGGGCAGTGGAGGGCTTGGTGTGGAGGTGACTCTACAGCAGTGAGTACTTACCTTCCCTTATTGAGGTACTTCTATATTTCAATGACTATCGCTTGCCTGTTTTTACTTTCTTTAGTGACAAAAGTACCTCTAGGACTTGAAATTTTGTGATATAGTTAGTGTCTTCACATCCCGCATTCAATATACTGATTTTCTTTCTGTTTATATTTCTTGAATATTGCCTGATATGTGTGATGTGTGCACTGTGGTTCTGCAATCCATACTGTGTGCCATTTTGATTTCCTTACTCAAAATTATATTGCTAATTTAATTTATAAATTAAAATCTGCAACTCACCAATACACATTAATATAGATATGGCAGGAGGAAGTTGTTTAAAATCGTGAATAGGTGGAGTAATAATGCTTACTATTAAATTACAGTCAATCATTTAACTGTGTCTCTTTAACTGTACCCCCTTTTTTACTGATAATCTCAAAATATTTCTACCTTACAGTGGCATTAAATTTCCAGACTGCTGGTCTACCTATGGACCTGCAAAATGGGAAATTTCTGGATAATGGTGGCTCTGGATATATTTTGAAACCACACTTCCTAAGAGATATGAAGTCAACATTTGACCCGAATAAAACAGCTGATGGTGATCCCATTACTCTTTCAATAAGGGTGAGATTAATGACTTCCTTTTTTCTGTCTTTGGTTATTATATAAACTAGATAGAATACATTAATATTTTGAATTCCATTGATTTGCTTTAATGTCTATTAAATTTCTGTTAATTTTTTCAGGTACTACAAGTACATGTGTTATTTTTAGCAGCTTTCTACACCTGCAAGATATCTCTGTGTTGTGTTTTTACATAAAAATTTCCATTCCTGTGAATAGAAATGCTGAGACTAAAACCCTTTCTCAAAGATCTATTTATATTATTCTATTGCATTTTGGTATTTCACATAGCAATAGAGGTCTGAGGTGAACTTGCTAATGACCTTGAGGATGTGCTACTTTTTCTCCCTTAACTTCAAAGAATCTTACCAGGAACTTCTCTTTTTATTAATCTCCAATGTTAAGATTTTGTAGTGCAGGATCCTCCCCTACCCTGCCTTGTCTGTGAACATTATTTGATTGCTTAGAAAAGTATTGATGTGCTTTTCTATGGTACCTGTCCTTCATGTTCCCTAACGTGTTCAACTTTAGTGTTCCTTTTCCTTTGTGTTTTGGGAGAGCTTTTAACATTTGTCCTCTAAACTGATGATTCAAAGTCTGCATTTGATTTTATTCTTGACTAATTTTAACGTGTTAATTTTTCTTCTGCATTATTATTCCCCCTCTTAGTTGTTATTTACTGCACACTGCTTCCTGTTTTCTTTCTTTGTTTTATCTTATTTTTTTATTTTTAGTTGTCCTGGGCTTTGAATTCATGATTTCAAGTGAGGTGCTCTACCACTTCAGTCACACCCTCAGCACTCTTTGCTTTAATTATTTTTCAAATAGGATATTGGTCTTTTTGCCTGGGGCAAGCTTCAGACTACAATCCTGCAACCTATTCCTCCTGTGTAACTGGGATTATAGTTGTGACCACCATTCCCAGATTGTTCTTTGAGAAAGGGTCTTTCTAAATTATTATTATTTTTTTTTACCCAAGTTGGTTTTGAACAGCAACTCTCCATCTTTGCCTCCGAAGTATCTGTTATAACTAAGTGTGAGCTACTGTGCTTCCTTTTTTATTTCTGCCTGTAGCTTACCCAGCACCCTTCCTGGTATTCCTGTATAGTTATTTCACCTTCCATCTTTTATTTTTATTATATCCTGTAGAGTTTCACTGAGAGCAAAAGCAGATTTCTGAAATTTATTGTCTCTATTAGTACATACTTTTTAAAACCTCCTCCTTATTTTTGTGTGACCTAAGCGCAATGTTTATTTATGTTTTAAAATGTCACTGAAACTTGAAAAAAATTTCTAGTTGTATTTTCTCTCCACTTGATTATGAGTAACCCTATTTTAGATTGTAACTGTGCAATTTATTTGCAAATAAATCAGGTAGGTATGGTCTCTCTGGTTCTTATTTCTATTTAACTAGCTCTTAAACCATATGAACCATCTTGGATGCTATTTTGGAGTCTGGATTAATACTGATAGGTTATTTCTGGTCAGGTTTACTGTGCCCATGCCATTACTTAGAGAAATACTGCTGAGTTTGTTGGCTCATGACAGCCCTCCCGCTCCTCATTACCTGGCTGTCAGAGTGCATGATACCCTGGAGCCTCCAGAGCGTGCTTCTCCACTACCCTTCTGATGTCACTTCTTTCCTCTACCATGAAAATATCACAGGGTATTGAGACCACTCTCATCTGCTTCAGGTCTAGTCATTTTATCCCCGTGATTGCTGCTTTCCAGGAAGGGGGAAGTGTAACAAAGGTGAAAGAGACTGCAATGATCCTGACCATGGCAGGAAACGGTGCCTGTGAAGTTTCGGGTTGACTTGGCTCCGACTTTTAGGGATTTTGTGACATAAAAACAAGAGTGTGCAGTGGGTCGGTAGAAAGTGCCTACAACTACAGATGCAGGCAGTAATTGGTTAGCTGATACTCTGGGATCTGGTGAAGTACTGACTGTGATGCTTATTTGATAATGTTATTACTGGGTTGGCATCATTTTCACGTTTGAAGAAATTGTTGATCTAGTGAGAAAAGGTGACTTAGTCACTTGGAAGATTCCTTCCTACTGCACACTAAGATCCTTCTGTGCTTGTGGGGTTATACTGCCTCTTCTATTTTCCTACCTCCTACGGGATTCCTTCTCACTTTCATTAGTGGCTTCTTCTTTTACTATCTGCTCCTCAAATATTTAAGTTGCCTCAAGATTTAACCTGGCCTTTGTTTCAAATTCAGTATGCTCCTGGAATCCTTTGATAGTAAGCACCCATGGTTCAAGCACCAATAACACTTAAATCTTTAGCCAGACCTCATTTTTTAAAATCTAGAAGCATGATTTTTAGTAGTATGCTTAGCATTTCTATTTAATCATCATCTGTCCAATTTAAAAATGTAAAGCCTGCACATCCCTTCCTGGTCAAATCTACTTGTAGTATTTTATTTATATGTCAATTCATCGCATCAGCTCAGACTGGGAAACCGGGAGCCATTCTAACCTTCCACATCCCCCTCGTCACTTCCCAAGTCTAATCCATCTTTAAATTCTGTTGATTCTGACCTTAAATGTCTTTGTATTCCCTCACTTGGTCTGACTACCTTGGCTGCTTTTCTGTTTTAGGAACTCTCTATCATCAGGTCTTTCCTTTGGTTTCCTAAGACACTTTCAGGCCTTGCTCCTCCTGATCCTTCCTTTGCAGGTTGGCCAGAGAGATTTGGCTATAATGCTAATCTTATCATGTGTACTTACCCTTATCATGTGTACTTAATATTTTTTTCTGTCTACTGGTTGCTGCTAGACAGGCTTTGATCTATTTCTCTATCCCTATCTCTCACTGTTTCTATTCTTAACTTTATTCTGCAACCACTAAGATCCTTTTCTGACCTTGATTCACCTCAATAATTACACATTCTCTCTCTTCTAACTGGACTGCCATCCTTCACCTGCCTCTTGCATTCAGTTCAGCTTTCAAGATGTAGGAATCAATCTTTTCAGAAGCTTTTCCTTGGCTGCATTGGTTGTGCTTCATTTTGTAGATTTCCTGTTTTTCAGTCAAATTCTATGTATAACAGTCATTTATTTGCCAATTACTTGTACTTATATTCCATTTATCTGATAAATAAATATATTTATTTATAAGGATAAGAATTTTTTGTTCAAGCTTTATTTAAAGATAAGAATTGTTTGTTCAAGCATTATTTATGGTTTCTAACACAAAATATATGGGTTATTTCTTTTTCTTGTTGAGAATAGTACAGAGCACATATGGGCTGTTATTGGAAGTGAAGGTGGAAGGTGACTTGTGTGCACAGATATTTAACAATGCCACAGGCTTGTATTCTGAGGAGGCTCCTGCTGAGGTGGAGGCAGCATGGAGCAGGTAGGATTGATGACTCTTATAGGAAGCTGAAGTGGTGATTTTGTGGGTCTTCCTGTCTTGATTATTCTAAGGAGTTTTGTAATTTCCTTATGATTTGTGCATATTATAAGAGAGTGTGACTTGGGAGTCAGAGAGCAGAATTTTACTAGACGCTATCTTGTATTCCTGATGAAGGTATTAGACATTTCTGGTTTGCTTTTTGTCATCTGTACGCTGTGAGTTTGGGTCAAAGTTCTGTATTCTCAAACTTAATAAAAACCATGAAACTACTTTCCAAATCCAAAATCCACTGCATATGGGCACTGGATGAGACCAGATTCTCTGTGACCCTTTCTCCATTATGTAAGTCAGATTCCACCAGTGTTCTCCAAATTCTCTTTTGACTTTCATAGTCAATGATGTGTTTTAAAATTAGGAACATTTTTGGCTTAAGATGTACCAAAGCTGCTCCATTTTGGTTAGGGTCTGTTGCCTGCAGAGCTGACTGGTATGTGTGGTAGATGTGAACAGAGTTCTTTCTAAATAGGCTGATTGATTGATTGGTGCCCATTGAATACTGCATCTGAATATTCTCAGTCACTTTGGTTTGTAGCTAATGGGAAATAATGTGCAGATTTGGGGGAGACAAAGTTGTACTTTAGCAGTCTTTTTTCTGTGCTCCTCCCCCCTTTCTCCTCCTCTTCTTCCTTTTTTATCAAATTTGACTATTTTCCCTCTTTATATAATCTTCAGAAATTAATTTTAATTAATTAATTTTAAATTAAGTTTTACAACTGCATTTTTAGGTTCATAGCTTTCATTTTTTACCCTAAATTAGGGCATTTCAAATGCTTTGTGTTCCCTTTGTTGTTAAAATTCAAACAAATTTTTGCTTTACTAATTACCTCAACTACTAAAAGTCTCAATAAAGTAATTACTTAGTTAAGTACTGTTTTGATATGAAGTCCATTGACATACATATGAGATGACTGATTTTGCCAGCTCAGGTTACTCATGATAGTATAGATAAGAATAGATAGTGCCCAATTTCATAAGTTATTCAAGCATAAATTCTTTTAGAAAATGTTATCATGAAAAAAATTGTATGCTTTTTTACATTTGAGAAGTAATATTGATACTGTTTTTAATTTCTGAGTAAATATAATTATATTTGAAAATCGTACATTATCAGAAGAATTTAGCCTGAATTACAGTAAAAATGGATCATAATTTTTTTAATTTCTTTTATTCATATGTGCATACAATGTTTGGGTCATTTCTCCCCCCTTTCCCCTGCCCCCTCCCTTTCACCCTTCCTCTTCCCTTTTTCTCCCTACCCCCTTGTTACCAGGCAGAAATATACACTAATGAATCATAAACCTTGGACATTGTGGATTTCACTATAAATAAGCACATTTAAGCAAAATAGAATGATTTAGGCATGCTCTATTTGTCTACTGATGCTTGAGGGTAAAAGACTTAAATTTTAAGTTTTTTATTATCTTCCGTCTTCAATTTTTATAGGAACTGACTTAGAGTCCATCAAATTTTGGGGAATGTATTCTCTTATTTGTATATTTTTAGTTAAAAAATTTTTTTGGTGCCACTGGAGTTGTGAACTCAGGGCCTTACAGTTGCTAGCACGTAGTCTACCACTTGAATCATACCTCCAGCCCTTTGTGCTTTAGTTATTTTTCAGATAGAGTCTCATGTTTTTCTCCTGGGCTCAGTTCTGGATAGTGTTCTTATCTGCATTTCCCATGAACCTGGGATTATAGACATGTATCATCATACTTGACTTGTTCTGTGAGACAGAGTCTCACTAACTTTTTTCCTAGGCTGACCTCAAACCAAGTAGCTTTGCCTCCCAAGTAGCTGGAATTACAGGTATAAGCCACCATGACTGACCTTGTATCATTTCATTTCAAAGGTAAGTAGGGATGTAGTTTAATATTCTGCTAAATTCTCATGTTCACCTGTATCTGCACAGATCATCAGTGGTATCCAGCTGCCTGTGAGTAACCCCTCCTCTAACAGAGCTGACACCTTGGTAATCGTAGAAGTGTATGGTGTTCCAAATGATCATGTAAAACAGCAGACTCGTGTAATTAAAAAAAATGGTGAGCTTCTAAGATATCTTACTGAACTTCTATTAGACTTCTTGTGGGAAAGCTTACATGTTAATAGAGTTTTTAATACATTTCAATTATTCATAAAACATATGTTTTGTGTTATTTTTGAGATTAACAAAATGTTGTCTCCAGCAGATACAATTTGCTAGTAATGAGATGACTTAGGTTTGTTTTTATAAGTTTTCTGTTTTCAGATTACAGATACAAAAATTTATCTGACTTGCAAAATTATTATTTCTTTCACTTTTACCTTCTTTTAATGTTTTCCCCAGTGTTGCAGTGAGACATTTTGACAGCTGCAAGTCTACTTAAACTTCTAGTCTCTGTGTTAAACAAAAATTCATGATTGTTCTGACATAGCATGTAACACATTTTTTTTTTTAACCTTGCTACTTGAATCAGATCAAAGATCTGTGTTTTGTCACTCAGGGTAAGGGTACCATAGAAGCACACTGATACATTTGCATTCGTAGTTCAGTCATTTCTTTTTTCCATAAAAGTGTGTAGGATTGGAAGAAGTGGCTTTGGTAAGATTTTCAACACTCTAGCACCCCATGACATTTTATGTGGTATAGTACTGGCACTGTCATTTCTTCTCTGAGGTTGAGATCACTAAGGAACTATAGACTCCTGGGGTTAACCTCTTCTTAGGATCACTTGGAGGAGACCTTGGAACTGATCCTGAAGTCTGGAATCCTCTTTGAATGGATGGTCCCATAATGGACTTCATTTCTGAGTCTGGAAATAAGTTCCAGTCTTTTTCTGCTGGATAACTCCTGACCATGTCCACAGTCAACTTTCTTTGCATTCCTTCAAATTCTCTCCCAGCATGGCCTCTGGTGCAAAAGGCTTGTAGGAAGGACATGGAAGCTTTTGATGCGTCCTCCCCCATTGTCAATGGGGAGGGGCATTAGTGATGACTTTCTCCTAAACTTGGCACCTCTTGGAGCTGAAGTCATATTCCAACAGCAGTGTCAAGAAATAATAACTGTTATGTCAGGAAGCTTAGTGTGACTTTCCTCTTCTTCCCACCATCCTCTCTATCATGGCAAATGTATTCAACATGGCCCATATAACACCGTGGTTCTAGAATTTTGATTACATCTCTGGTTTTATTGGAATATCTCTATAGAAATTCAGTTTCATTCATCAGACTTGAGCCTTGGCTCTGCTAAAAGCCTGGTGCTTTAAAAAGTATCAAAAGACTTAAAATCTGTGCTTATTAAAGGTATTCTTACATATGTTGCAATGAACTTGATTGTAGATAGTTTACAGTTCAGTGTGAGAGGTGACATACAAGTAAAATTATGATGATGGTTACGATGTAGCTTTATCAGTGCCTTAAGGAGAGTTAAAAATTGTATGAAGGGGCACATTTGCAGAGGGTTCTTGGATAATATGTAGTTTTTTTTTTTGCACAGATTGGGGACAAGGGCATTTAAGACAGAAAGAATAATGTGAATCTTAAAACACGAGGAAGACACAATTCAAACATGCTAAGGAAAGTCAAAAAAGCCCAGGATAGGAGGAATGCTGGAGAAAGATAAATGAATGACAAAAATGAAAAATTGGAGATAGCCATGCTACGCTCTCAGGGACTTTCTTTTCTCTAGAAAATGAATAAAATTAAGACTTAATAGAAATATCACACTGAAACACATTTGAGCTTTAGGAGAATTGTTTCTGCAGATAAGGTAGAAAGAAGTATATGAGAAATACAAAGTAGAGTTATTGTAGGATTTCGATGGCTAAAGGATGTAGAAATCAGATTGTAAAGAAGTCTGTGCCATCAGAAGAAGTGGGGCAAGTGTGTGAGAAACACTGAGCATGAATAAAAGACTGGGTAGGTGGAGAAGAAGGACTGTGAGATGGGTAATGACAGTACAATTAAAGATACAAAAAAATCTTGGAGAAAAATGATCATATTTGGATAGGTGTGAAGGTAATACTTCATTTTTTGGCATGTCCAGAAACTATATGCATCACTATCAAATTTTGTATCCTGAATTACTTTCTTTACTATGATAAATATATCTCCTATAATACATGATTGTATATGTGTGTGTATGTATGTATGTGTGTGTATGCATGTATGTGTATCTGTGTGTGAAAGAGAGAGAGTTAGAGAAAGGGAGACAGAGAGATGCAGAGGTGCAGAGGAAGGAAGGGAGCCTGATAAGGTATGTATACTTAAGTAAGGATAGAAGAGGAAAAGTAAATCAGTATGAGAATCTGCACAGGAAGCAGAAAATGTTTCTCCCTTTTTTCCCCATTTCTCTACCATTTTTATCCTCTTATCCTTTCCTAATAAACTTTACTGTTACTTTTACTACCAAAAAAAAAAAACAACAATTTTCTGTGGACATTTTCAGCATCTATAAAGAATTGACTATATGCTCACTATCCTTGGCCATAAAGGAAATGTAAACTAAAACCACATTAAGATTCCACTAACTCCTGTTAGAATGGTTATCATCAAGAGCACCACCATCAACAAATGTTGCTGAGGATGTGTTGGAAAATGGAGCCTTCATACACTGCTGGTGGGAATGTAAGCTAGTATAACCACTATGGAAAACAGTATGGAGGCTTCTTTAAAAACTAAAAGTAGAATTACCATACAATCTAGCAATACAACTCCTAGGGATATACCAAAAGGAATTTGACTCTGGTTATTGCAAAGGCACCTGCACACCCATGTTTATTGCAGCACCATTTACAATAGTGAAGCTATGGAAACAGCCAAGATGCCCCACTACCAATGAATGGATTAAGAAAATGTGGTATTTATATACAATGGAATTTTACCCAACCATGAAAGATAATGAAATATTGTTATTATCTAGCATCTAGCTCACAACTATGTTCAGAGCTCTTTCAGTAATTGTTACTCAAGTTACTCATGCCTCTGGATAGGGGAAAAGGGCGAGGGGAGGGTTACATTAACTTAAGTACAATGCATGTACAGGTATAATACCAAAGCAAAAATCTTACTGAACAATGAACAGATACCTAAACAATGAAGGACAAGAATGACAAACAGGTCACGCTAAAGGGAAAGCACTAACCAGAGGAGGAAGGTAAAAGAAAGAAGCTAAGAAGGTGAATATGGTTGATGTGCTTTCTATACAGGAATGAATATAGAATATTTAAAACTGCTGAAATCATCATAAGAAGGTGACTAAAGTAGAAAGAAGAAAAGTGGAGGAAATGAATCAATTCAGGACATAATACATATATATATGGAAGTGTCATAATGAATTCCCCTGTATCTTAAACATATAAAAATGTATTTTTTCAAAAATGAAGGACAGAAAGATAAAACATGTCCTATGAGGGGGTCTGTACCATGAGAGGGTGGAGAATACAAGGAAATGATGAAGGAGGGAAAATATGGTGGAAATAGTATGTATTGATGTATAAAAATGGAACAATGAGACCTGTTGAAGCTATTTTAATAAGGGGGGAAGGAAGATAAAGGAGAATGATGGAGGGGGTGCATCTAAGATTATATATATATAACATATTGATATGTATCATTATATTGATATATCATATAGTGATCATATATATCATATTGATCAAATGTGTATAATATATTATATATATGATACATTGTAGGCAATTTTGTGTCACAGTGTACCCCAGTACAACAATATGTTGATAAAATGAAAATTATAAAAAATTAAAAGCTAAAAAAAGAAAAGAATTGACACTAAATCTTCCTCAATAGTCTACGAATTTATTTCTCTTCTTCAACCAAGGTGATATAGTTATTTTTCCAACAAGAGCCAATAAGTTTAGTGTTTCCAAGAGTGTAGACTGTGTCCTGGATTGCCATTTGGTAAATGTGCACTGTGACCACAGGTGAGCCATAGAAAACATAGATATTATATAATTAGTCACAAATTAATTAATACTCTGACACAACATATGTAGCATTGCCTTGTACCTAAAAAACAATATATATTATTTCTCTTCAAGCCTTTGAGTCTTTATTAAGAGCACATATCAGATCTGAATGTGCATATCTTGATTCAATTAAATTTTGCTCTAAGTTTTGGATGATTTGGGTCATATTGTCAAACAATTTGGATTTCTTGCTGTAGCAATGACTGGTTGGTTGAGGAGATTTTTTTACTAAAGACCAAAATTATTTATCAACTTTGGACTTTGAAATGATCTTTTAGTCAAAAGAAACATAAAGAACTGGCTTTAGAGAATGCTTTATCTAGCTTCTAGTTCACAGCTCTTTCAGTAATTGGCCTGGTAGAAAAATAATGTTACTTAACTTCCTCATGCCTCAGTTTCTTCGTTAAGGGAATGCCTGGGCACATTTGTCAAATGCATAATGACTAAAAGTTTCTGGGCTGAAATTAGACTCCCTGTGTTTGAATTCCTTTTCACTACTTAATGGTTATGCAGGTGAAACCCCAGGAAGTTATCCCTCATCTTTGTCTCTCAGTTTTTTCACCTGTAAATGAGAAGAGTAATGACCTTGATGGGGTTGTCCTGAGGATTAAAAGAGATGACCTATGTAAAGATTTTAGAACATCACCCAGCAATAGTAGACACTGTATATTGTTATTGTTTTTATAACTTATTCCTCTTCTACTGGGTCAGTACATTAAAAATTTAAGTGGTCTAAAATATGAGCTACTAACTACTACTGTTACTGTGTTAAAAAAAATTGTAGAAAAATCATTTACTGTTTTCCTTAGAGATGGTGTCTATGACTTTGTATCTGTTCCTTTGTATTTCAGCTTTTAGTCCAAGATGGAATGAAACATTCACATTTATTATTCAAGTGCCAGAACTGGCATTAATACGCTTTGTTGTTGAAAACCCAGGCTTAATAGCAGGAAATGAATTTCTTGGACAATATACTTTACCAGTTCTATGCATGAACAAAGGTAACATTCTTAAAAGTAAGATTATTCTATTAACATTTGAACACACCTTGTTTTTATCAGACACACTTTGATTATACCTCCCCATCCACACAAGTAGGATATAAAGGAAATCTTATGTATCGATGCATATGTTCTTCCGTGGAATTATAGAAATGTGTTCTCATGTGGAAGGTGGGGTGGAAATATGGGCTTGCTTGTAACACCAATTAGATAAACTTGGCATGAGTAAGTGTCTTAACATGGATTGTAGTTCTGTTACAGTGAAGAGTAGTCTGACTACTCTTAAGAAGTGAAGGATGGGGGTCAAACTAAGGGAAAAGCAGTAAATCACTCTTCCTGCCTGAGGAGAAGAAACTGAGAATCAGAGGTTACCCTTTCCTAACTCTTCTAGGCTGCTGTCTTGATGCAAGTTCCCCTTCAGAGGTGGTTAACACTGTGCTCCCAAAGCCCTCATCTCAAAAAACTTGCTTTTCTATTACCATTTGAACCGTGTATACGAAGCAGGTTCTTCCTGAAGCAGAAGGATGGTGGCTAACTTTGGAGCACATGGTGCTTGAGGGAGAACCATGAGCTGTGTGCTCAGTGTTGGCGCACAGAATTCTGGAAATCAGAACAGAAACTGTCAACTTTCAATTTTTGTGGAATATTAGTATATGAGGTGGAAACATAAGTCATGGATTTGAATGCATGCTTAGTAGAGATACCTTCTTTCTCAGTAGCATGGTTGGGGCCATCACTGATTAATTTGTTTTTATTGCTTTAATTAGATATAATTCCTTTTTCAGGTTACCGTCGTGTTCCTCTGTTTTCCAAAACGGGCGAGAGTCTTGAGCCTTCTTCCCTGTTTATTTACGTTTGGTACATCAGAACCACTAATGGTACCTAACATATTCTCAGCTATACATCACAATAAAACACCCAAAATCAGTGTCTGCATATTTTCTTTCTTTAACCATAAGCAAAATTGTTACTTATTAAAACAGAAATATTGAGCTCATTCACCTTTAAATGTGCAAATTAGAGAAGAGGGAAAAAGAAACTAGAATCAGAGAGCCCTGATTCTGTGGCATTCTCATTAGTCAGTTCTCCTCCTCTCTATTATGGAGGCTGCTTTGCAACTAGCTTGTATCAGTTTTAATTAGAAGAATTTATAAGCTTTTAAAATATGTCTGATTATATAAGACATGTTGGCAAATATTTAGCAGTGTAAAAGATGTGAAATCTAAGAGTGTTTTAACTTCCAGACACCCACTACTGCCTGTTTTAGAGGGAAGAAATTAGATTGCCAGCCCTTTGTGCCCTTTTATATCCTGTAAAGTAATTAGCCCCTGAATTCTCATGCTAGTTCTTATATGCTCTGCACTGGATTTGGTACCCTGTAATTATACAGACATTTTTGTAAGTGTGTATGAAATTGATTTGCATTCAAACTATATTCAGGCTCTATATCTATAAAAGAAGTCTATGCAGACTTACATGCTTGGATCTTGAATTAATTTGCAATATTTCTCAATTTATCCTAAATGTACTTGCAATTTTGTCTCTTGGTTAGAGATGAGATTCCTGGGCTCTTTCCTGTGCTGGACTTCTTGACTTATTACAGAGTCTTCTGTAGAACACGGATCCATATTAACCTGGGATATTAATCCTTATCCCTCCATAGTATTACCTGATGGTGAAGTGAAAGCATCCAGGACCATGTCTGACAAAATAGGAGGTCCTCACAGAAATTTGTTGAAATTGAATTGAAACTTGTAACTAAAAATCCAGAAATGACTATGTCTTTGAGACGTACACTAATGTATTACCCCTTGATGACCAGAAAACACAAAATCGCATGCTAACATGCTTTATGATTGCCACAGAACACATTCAACACCACATATTAAATGTGTAAGTACCACGGGGAATTCAAATTCCCAAGCCATAAGTAGTGAGAAAGTATGCTACTCCATGTATAGACTTCTAGAATCTCCTCATGGGCTGCCTGGATTTAATTTTTGTCGAAAACTAATATTTCACAGAGTGATTTCCTCTTAGTAGGAACATGCAGCTGATTCTGAGAGGCACACTTCCATTTTGAGACAGTGGTGGATCTTATTTAAATCATCTTGTTCAGACTATTGATGCAAGGCTTTAACTTTCTCTAACCTCCAAAGGTCTTTTGAAGATCTGATATTCTAAGAAATTTAAAGACTTTGATCAAGGAAGCTTTGCAGGAGAATCCATTACTTCTGTAGTGGAATAAACTTCTATTTTCCACTTGTACCATCAAGCTTTGAAACAAGGAAGAAATAAAAGATATACTTTCTTTTCTCCCCGTTTCTTTAGGTACCAAGCACTCACCTCACTAACTTTGAAAGCCAATGATTTCCTTTTTCAATATTTCACTCTACGACAGAGACACAATTTTGAGAGAAATAGTAAATTATTTTATTTCATGTCCAATAATCTTATGATGTCTTTAAACATTTTTGGCTCTACTTTAAATGTGTAGTATCATTTGCTGTACTTTTTCAATCAAACTGGTATTACAATTATTTTCTTAGAAGAACTTGTGAGAGATACTCCCCATAGAAACGATATAGTTAAGGCATGTTCTCACATTTAGAGAAGGGTGGGAATGGTGTAAGGAGCCAGCTTTGACTCTTGCTTTTGAAGTATAATTCATTTGTAAGAAATAATAGTATTGTGAGAAAACACAAGAGGAAAACAGAAGAAAAGGCTAAATGAACTGCTAGGACTATGGCAACAGAAGACCTTTCAAATTTCAAACTCTTACTTTAAACATCAGCTCCTCAGGGAAGCCGTCCATGCTCTCTCCAACTAGGTTATATTTCTTGGTTTATACTTTCTTTACAACAGATAAAAGTGATGGCTAGGAACTCACTGGGCATTATCCACTGGGCTTGGGGTTTTTAGGAGCTGGCATGAAGTCCATGATTAAGCTTTGGCATTTCCTTGCTGATCATAAACAGTTTCAGAGGGCATCAACTCCAGACAAGGCCACTCTGTAATCATGACTCAATACATGAGCCAAAAGCATGAATATTGTCTAAACATAAAAAATGCAAATACTCCCCCATTCTGGCTGATGTGAATAACTGTTGACTCATTACCAATTATAGCTTTAGCTTCAATTTATTACTCTGTATAGATGATTTATTCCAGTCCTAGAATTGCCCCCTATTCTTGACAGAATAGAGGAGAGCATTTTCCTTCCTTGAACCCTTCCCAGAGTCATCTAACACAAGGCCAAATCCAATAGAGACTCCTTTCAAACATCGACTTGCAGATGTGCTCCAAGACTCTCCAGAATGGTGTCTTCCTCATTACAATGAGCAATGAACCCCATTGTGTGTGTTCCTGGTGCTCTGAGGCTGAAGAAGACCAGAATGAACTTAGACTTCTTCCATTATCTTGTATTGATCGGTGATAGGGAAGTTTCATCATGTTTTAATTTGAGCTTTTCTTTCTGGCTGTGTTTGTCCAGGGCTTCAAAGAGGAGACTTGCAGAGTATTATCTCTCTACCTACACTTCTTTGCCTTTTGTCTTGGAAGATGTGCCCACTGGAGGTTGAGTGGCAGGCTGGTTGCAAAGAGAGAAGTTGCTCTGTCTTTGAAAGAGGTGTGAGGAAGTTTCTTTGTAGTTATAAAAAGAAGATCCCTATTTTTAATTTTGGACATGGAAGAATGCATAGGTTTTCTGAGGAAGGCAGAAGAGATACTCATATCAAAGCCTCCATCAGGATCTTGTGTAAATTTCAGGGATTTGGGAACCACACTGGGAAGAAGCTCATACCATATTGTACAGAGAAAGTAGAATACTTTACTGTTGAACACCCTTATGGGATTGAAAAATAGACATTTTATTGGAGGAATATAAGGACATGTTCCATTGCTCATGAGTTCTTAAGATCCCCATTTTCCTAGAATACGCAAAAACATTTGTTGAATTACTTTACTTTCAAAGTAATAAACCTCTGGAAGTATGTGTAGCAACAAAGGATTCTTATGATGCATTCTGGACTCTTAGGTCATAAAATGTAAGCCCTTTGTAGAATTCAGTTAAGCTACTTTTACCAGCCATTGAAAATTTTCATTTCAAGCATCAGAGGGGTGAGTTGAAACGGAATTTGATTCTATGAAGAGATCGGTCTTCTGTTTCTCCATACCAGTGTAGCACACAGTGGGGAGTCAATAACTACCTTAACATTTCAAGGATCAGTGCTCCTCTCGACTTCTATGTGTACACAATTTAACTTAAAGACTTTCAGTCACTTTTCCCATTCTTCTCCTAGGGAAGTCACATTTCAGTTTCAAATGTGATAATCACAGTAGCGGCAGCATAAATTAATCACCATCCTCCAGTCATTTTACTTATGTAATATCATCCATGAAATAGGCCCAGAAATATTGTGTTGCTTATGGTCTATATCAAGTGACAGAAACAGAATTATTAATCCAGGGCAGTCTGGAAAAATGAATATTCTCCCTTGTCTAACACAATACACATAAATGAACTCAAAATAGATAATAAATTCAAATGTGAAACAAAACTATGAAATTCTCAAAGAAGGCAGAATAGCTTTGTAACAATGGGGGTGGGCAAAACTTTCTTGAAACCTTAAATGAGTGAGACATAAAAGAAATGATACTTTGATACACAATGGAGTTTTACTCAGCCATGAAGAAGAATGAAATCTTATCATTTGCAAGTAAATGGATGGAACTGGAGAACATCATTCTGATTAAGGTTAGTCAGGCTCAGAAGACCAAAAATCATATGTTCTCCCTCATACATGGACTTTAGATCTAGGGCAAATGCAGCAATGTTGCTGGACCTGTGTCACACGCTAAAGGGAGAGCACATACGGGAGGTATGGGGATAGGTAGGAAACCCAAAACTTGAGAGTGTTTGATGTCCCCACTGCAGAGGAGCTAATACAGTAACCTTAAAGTGACAGATGTCAATATGGGAAGGTGACCGGGAACCAGAGAAAAGGTCAGGTAGAGATGAATCAATCTCAAAGGATTTATATCCAGACTATATAAAAAATGCATACAATTTAATAGTAAAATAATCCAGTAAGAAATATAGACCAAATATTTGAACAACTATTTCTCAAAAGAAAATATGTGAGTGACCAACAAGCATATGAAAATATGCTCAACAACATCAGGGAGATGCAAATTAAATCTCTGATGAGTTGTCACCAGACTGACTAAGCATACAAAATGTTGGAGAGGATGTGGAAAGCTAGAATTCTCATACACTGCTCATGGGAATGTAAATGGGATGCTCGCTTTGAAACAGTTGTGCAGTTTCTCATGAAGCTAAACATCTGCCTGTCATATGACTCAGCTATTTCACTACTGGATATTTACCCAGGGGAACAAAACCACATAGCCACACAAAGACAGATGCTACATGGTGGATGGGGACAGTAAAATATTCCACACCAAATACATTTGCTTGGCATCTTTCCTGTTGGTTGTTTCAGAGAAACTTCACCCCCTTGGAGACACAGCCCCTGAAAGGTTGTTCTTCTGTAAAAGACATTTACATCTGTAAAGGAAAACCATATCAGGGAACTAAATAGCCAATGAATGTAAACAGGTTTTCTGATTTGATAGTCTCCTTTCTGCCTAGGAAATATCTTTTCATAGGAAGAACAGTTTAGGGATTTGACACCTGTCTCTCACAGAGATTACCACAGGTGGCTGTCACCTGGGAGGCGCTATCTGCGTAGTAATACCATCCTTGCTTGATGTATACTTTCCTCCCTAACCTTCCATAGCCTGTTGGCTCTTCTCTTCCCCACCAAAAGCCCAAGTCCACACCCTTTTGTTCAGATCTATACAAACTTCAACTGTCTAGCACTC